TTCCTGGCCTTACTAGTAGAACAAGAAGCTAGTAGAAACAAGTGCCTGACTACTAGGAGCAAGAAGCTACTAGGGGTTCCTGGCCTTACTAGTAGTAACAATAAAAATGTGGGTCCGCGGCGTCCGCGGCGTCCTTTTTCTCGTCCACGGTCGCCCGTGACCAGAGCCTGGAGGCGAACGACGTCGCTTCCGCGGTCGGACGCGCTCGACCGCGCCTCGTATCTGGGGTCGCCTTGGGGAACCCATTCACCGCGCTCCAGGAACCTCGCTCGAGGGGAGCAGAGAGTTGAAACCTAGTAGCTTCTTGCTACTAGTAAGGCACTTGTTTCTAATAGCTTCTTGTTACTACTAGTAAGGCACTTGTTACTAGTAGCGATGCACTTGTTCCTAGTAGCTTCTTGCTACTAACTAGTAGTAATGGCCTCCAACCTACTAGCAATGGCCTCCATATAGTGTCTCTTTCTGTGTTACTTCTTTTCGTTCCTCGTCTATTCATGTCTTTCTGTACGTTCTTCTCGTGTCACCCTCGCCGGAAAAACGTTGCAACACATATTACATGCATCTACATGCATCATTTTGGATGCCAGTCTTGTCCCAGCTGCTCGCTTGGGCTCGGGCCACACAAATGTCCCGAAGAAAAACAACGCAGTGAAGATCAAGAGGATCTGTGAAGATCAAAACGACTGAAACCGAAGGGAGAACGATCGACTTTGAAAACGCCAGTCGGCTGTGACTTGAAACTGGCTCTTCCAGGCGCTCGATGAGTCCCTGGCTGTCATCAAGATCGCTGGAAAGGCATTCACCATGACCTTCAAACAGGCTTAAAGTTTACTCTTAGGTTGGAGGTTGGAGGTCATCGCTCTTGGGTTGGAGGCCATGGCTTCTAGCTTGGAGGCCATCACTAATAGAAAACTGTTTTCTTTCTTGCTTAGGTTCAGTTCCTCTCCCTCTCGTCTACCAATATCGCACGCCGAGCGAAGGGCACGAGTCTGAGTGAGTCAAGATCTCACGCGCGAAAGGATCGGAATAGTCTTATGGCGGTGAGCGATGCACTTTGCTACTAGTAGCTTCCTTGTTCCTAGTAGTAAGGCCAGGAGCTAGTAGCGTCCTTTGCTCCTAGTAGCGATGCCCTTTGTTCCTGTAGCGTCCTTGTTTCTTCGCCATGGCCTTTTTGAACAAGTCGTTGATCTCATTGAACCTGGGAACTCGGACGCTGAGTGGGTGTGCTTCCCAGTCGAGGTCAGGAGGTCACACGAGGTCGGGACTGGCCCAAATCCGCGTTCAGGACTCGAGTGAGCTTCCAAACCCGGAAGACTCTGGCCTAAACGGCAGGGAGACGTCCCTTCAAGAAGAACGTCCTTTCAAGACTTGAAGAACGTCACGTTTGGGGTCACTGGGTTCAAGGCCACTTTCAAAACACGAAGCAGGGAGAAGTGCTCCACCTGTCGATCCCATGTCTGAGGCAACTGATTCCTTGTCCTTGTTTGTCCAGCCTGGCCATGTTGGTCCTTCAAGATCAGCACCAGTATCAACTCGGCCTCGAGAAGAAGGAGCGGCGCTCGGTGCGAAGAGGTGGCAGCGATGAGGCACGGCGGACGCTCCAAGGATCGAACCCAGAAAGGAGCCACAGAAAGTACATCACAAATGGCCTGGCATCGCTACTAGGAGCAAGGGCCTTACTACTAGGAACAAGAAGCTAGTAGAAACAATATAGAAATAAAAATAGGATAGAATTAAAATTACTAGTAGAGGACGCTACTCAGAGCAAGGGACGCTACTAGGAGCAAAGGGCATCGCTACTAGGAGCATTCTTACTACTAGGGAGGACAGAAAGTTCTAGGAGGCCATCCCTCTCAGGTTGGAGGCCATGGCTATTGCTGACTCCCTGCGCATGGAATGAGGCTGGCCTTGCCTATCAAAGGGAAAGAGGACAGTGTGGCGGTGATTCACGTTTTCGCATCCTTCACCCGTTGAGTGGTCTTTGTCCTGCCTCTGGGGAGACAATGAAGCGCACAAATCGCCCACAGAGTGTGGTGGGAGGCGAGATCCTCAGTCCCCCCCCCCCGGGTAGAATTCGTTGCACTGGGAATCGTTTCACCTGTAGTAACAATGAAGCTTTTTAGTATGTCTTTGAAGCCTCTTAGTAACAATAAAGAAAGGAGCTTCTGTTCTCCTTTAGCTTCGACGTCCGGCCCTCGTGGCCTTTTGGTCTGGCTGGTCATGACTTGCTTGTTCCGCTTCGAAGAGGAAAGCTGTAAAAGAACTGGTTAGTGTGCTTTTGGCTGGCTTTTTCGAACGATTTTCTGGTCTCTTATTTCTCGCTTTGGGGTCTCTTTCTCTGTTGTGGGTTGCCTCTTTTGTTTGAATACCCCATTTTCCAATTTTCCATTTTTCCGCATGCTTTACATATTCCCCTCTCTTTTTCCCCTCTCTTTTCTTCCCGCCTAGAAGGATTGGTTTTCTACGAGCGCCATGTGTCTTGGACATATCACTTGCTATCAACAAGCTCTGGGTCACCAGCGGCAACTCCTCATTTGCTATGACAGCAATGAGGTAGCGGTGATTCAGCAGCTCCCGGCGAGCCTTGCAAAAGCCACCCTCAAACGGCGCTTGGCTACGTCCCGTCTTCATTCTGGAAGGAGGATGGAGAACTGTTGTGTTTGAGATTGGTTCGTGCCCACCCCTTTGCTTCCCTTTGGTTCCCCTTCGTTTCCGATTGCCTCCCTCATTTCTTTTACAAGACTCATGGGATTCTGCCTGTGGGGCACTGATTATCCGCAGGATGATCTCTACCGTGAAGATCCAGACCTCGTGCTTTTCAAGTGCACCCACTGCAGAGAAAGCAGCTATGCTGTAAGCATCTGTAATACAAATGCGCTGCAAAGCTACAAAAAAGCAAACGTGTCACTCTCCAGATTAAATCGGAAAGGTTCAAAGTTCCCTGCGCAGATTTCTTCTGCTACGGCCATCCACCTGGGCTTTCTTCTGCAACCAAACAGGGCTTCGGCAGAGTGTATCTCAGGTTTGAGCGGAGGCTCTGCAGGAGCACAGCTGTTGATCGTGGATCCCACACAGGGAACAATGCGAACACCCTTGCCAGATCAAGCAGTTCAAAGCGAGCAAGCCGCAAGCAAGCCCGTCCAATGGCTTTTTTGCACTGCTTGAACAAGTCTCTAAAGTCCCATGTCGCCTCCACTGTTCCGAAGGTGAAGCAGAACAATGAAATCACCACAGCAGCACAAAGTATACCTTGGAAGGTGTCAATGCTATACCACAACTTCCCTCATGCGGCAACTCCGCTTGGTCCTTGACGCCGAAATTTGAGCACAGCACAAGAAACGATCATGGAAAGGAAGGATGAGTTGTCCCCCATGTCGAGAATGAAATAGAGCCGCTCCTGAATTTAAAACCTCTCAAAGTGACCCAACACAAAAGGATTGCATAAGCGCAAAGAGCACAAAAACAACTCTCAACAGCGTCTCTCCAGCTTGCCCAACCTTGGAAGGCAAAAGAGAAAAGCAAGGATGGTAAAACAAAGAAGGCTTAGTGTGGAAACGATGAAAAGCCTTGAATTGGCATTTAATGCGTAGAACTTCGTGTCAAGTCAACTGAGTTGAAACCGGGTGTCCCACTGCACTGAAAAGCGGGAATAGATTGGCGAGCGGTTCCAGGAGACCATCCAATCCGGGTCGAAGGTGTGGCAATTCACGTTGATTCCCAATTCCTTCGGTTGGTCGTCCAACGTCAACGTGAAAGCAGGTGAATCCAAAGAACACCTGAGGACATAAGTTCTAGCAAATTAGCTACTAATAGCGATGCCCTTTGCTACTAGTAACTTCTTGTTACTAGTAGTACGGCCAGGAGCCCCGTTCGTAGCGTCATGTCGATGCACGAGACCTTGTTTCTCGATGTCTCTCCTCCATCAGCTCCAGGTCCCAATCCTTTTGACCAATCTTCTCCCTGTGACGTGACACGACAGTGACCGAGTTGACCTTAACGGCTCTCGTCCCGCTCCGCTTCTCGAGGCGCCGACCCGAAGGTGCGATGAAAACGATCGACGGCTTTCAGCAATTCCCCGAGCTTGACCTAGTCGGATGGGCCAGTCGGTCGTTTTGGTCCAGTCGAATTTCTACCGAGAAAGCAGTGGGTACGGTTCTAAGAAGATGAAGGAGAATCTTCGAGAGATTCGACGACTAAACCGGGTGTTTTTTCCATGACATTCTCACGAAGAGCTTCTGCCAAAAGAAAGGATGCACACCTCGCCAGGGCAGTCCGGCGTGTCTCTCTGATCCATCAGCTGGAGAGATCTCTTCCTCAGATCTGCTGTTTAAATGGGTCATGTCAAACAGTCAAACTCAGCTCAAGTGCGAGTCTCGGGCCAACTGGAACACAAAACCACTTTGGAAAATACCCGTCCAATGACCAAGGTCATCTGAGCATGGTTCATCATGCTTTTCCCGCCCTCTGATTGTTCCGCGCTGTGTAAATTCCACAACACCTGGTTATAAAAAATAAGAATAAATAACTATCCACGTTGTTCCAAAACAAGCAAAACCGTCCCTGATCTTGTGACGCCATGATGTTTGAAGCTGCGAAAATTCGTACGTAAAACCGCTCATCCTAGCTCATGCAACAGCGCTGCGGGTGCAGAGGCGCTGAGGCCCGTCGGGATCCCCCACACGCTGCTTCGGGGCAAAACGAAGTTCTGCGGCAAGACGCACCGCTTCGCGGCCCTCAGAAATAGAACATAGGAAAAAGCAGTTAAATAGGCCATCGCTTTAAATCGAAGATTCAAAGACATGTGGAGAACAAATCCATCCTCCAACAAGAAGCTACTAGGAGCAAGGGCATCGCTACTAGGAGCAAGAAGCTACTAGGG